GCCCAGGTGACTCCGCCCCTCGGTGCGACCAGCGGAGCGGAGGGGCGTGGGCAGCTGGGGACCGGCTTCCCCGCTCCGGGCGACGCTGGCCGGTGTGTAGCCCTCGGCAGGCCGCGGGGACAGAGCCTGGTCAGGGCTCCGGGCGTTCCCGGGCCACAGCTCCAGGTAAAGGCTGATTGCGGGAGCCATCCCTCTTGTCTCCCCGCAGCCCCGGGTGAAGTTTGCCCACCTGAGTTCGCCGGGGACAAAGTTTCTCCAGGGTCCCCGAGGACGCAGGGGTCCGCAGAGGTGGCGAGAGGTTGCACCCTGCCGGCTGGGCAGCTCGAGGGATGGGCGCCGCCTCCTGGTCTCTGGGGCAAGGCAACAAGTGCAAGGCGCTGCGGGGTCGGAGGCGGCAGTGGCGGAGCGCACCGGGGCGGAGGCAGCGGCCACCCCTCATTCCCTCGGGCACCGGGATGGGAAGGGGCGGAGGGTGAGGGAGTTCAACCTCAGCACAACGCGAGCGGTGGGAATCCATGGCATGCGGGTGGTGGAGAAGGGAGCGTCTCGAGAGCCAGGGTTCCCTCTTCCCATCTGTGCTACTGGCCGGCGTTCAGGTGCTTGGGGGACCCCAGACTGCTGGCCAATCCCAAGCTCAGGACATTTATTTCTGTGGAAAACGTTTGCCGAGTTTACAAAAGCATCTATGATTATCTTGTTTGGGAGGGGCCTTTAGGGTTCCGTGGGAATGCATGCACTTGTTTCATGGGTTTTCGCTGGAATACTTGAATGTGGGTGGTAGGGGTCACGGGCGGAGAAGGCATTCTCGCTTATTGTGAGCCCTGTGGACACTGGGTGTTCGGACCACCCAGGAAACCCAGCTCTCGTTTCCCAGACACCAGTCAGGTTTCTAAGGGAGACTACTTTAGGAGCCCACAGCGCCCGCCTATTGGTTACAGCTGGGTGGGTCCGGGGGAAGGGCAACATCTGTGTTTGCCAGCTTTTGGCTCTCTGACCTCTGCTGGAGTCCCAGTCTTTACGTGCGCCAAGTCGTGGAGACTGACCACTGGTTCTGCACACTGATTCTGTATCAAGAAATAGTTATAAAGAACGGACTCACTGCTTTTCTGTTTTGTCCTCTTCGGTTCCTAGACCCTGAAGCTGTCTGTGAATGAAATCCTATTCTCACAGCACAAGCAAAATCAAAGGCTCGCCCTAGTTAGGTTCTGTCGGATCTGCTTTGGACGCGATAATCCAAGTGCTGATAACCTTGCCCAGGGAGGGTTTCCGTACGTCTGCCTTGGCTTCTTATGTCGATGTTGTTAAAACAAATTGGGGTTTGTCTAATCTTGATGAATAGTCGAGCTAAAACTCAGTTGGAATATTTGAAAGAAGAGAATATTGCAAAAGTCATTGAAAGTTGTACTCTGACAGCATTTCAATATAATTAATGTTCTGATGGGGACTTTATAGGTGATTCGGTGTAATTATTTTCATTATAGAACTGGTATAGTATCACACCTGATACTTAGTGGTGATAGTTAGTGGGCAGGGAAACTGAGGCACAGAACTAGTTCTTGAGTCTGTAACTCGTGGGAGTGTCCTGGCTAATGTGACATGAGACGAGAACAGAGAATCAGTGTTCGCGCTGCCTTTGCCTGTTTTCTCTCTTATCAAGGCTGCACAGCCGTGCCATTGGTGATCCCTAACAGGTGTGTTACGGGACTTTCCTCTGAAGTACCGTCTGCCCTCTAAGTAGTTAAGAAACGTTTCAAGGTACAGAAGGAAATCAGTAGGCAATGAAGGTTCTGTGAAATTTCATTAGCCCATCTAGGGTTTCAGTACGTTTTTTTTTTTAACATTTTTTTTTTAAATCATGGAGGTGCTTTGGAGAATTCTGAAGTATTTTCTTATTGTGTTTTCGTAAGAAACCATTCTTGTGGCTAAGACTTCCACTGGACAGGCATTTCAAAAGTGCTTTGATACACGTGGCTTTCTTTCCTTTAGTATGCCACGTGAGAAGAGCGAAAACCCGAGTGGTATTAAGTGGCGGGATATACTGTTACTTTAAGATTAAGCGTTTTGTATAAAATTTGTACTTAGGCTCTAACCAACTTCTGCCGGGGTTTGTGGTCAAGTCTTGACTCCCAAGAGGAAAGATTCATAATATAAATGTTGGAACCTCCTTTTCTGCTGATAAATGGGTAGGAGAGAGCCAAATAGAGCCCAAATTACTCTTGAAGTTCCAGGTGACTGTAATTTTATTATGCTTCAATGTCCTTGGTGATAGGACAGCTCTGGTGTGTGGATTGGGTTTCATTGCAATGGTACCTGTGTTACTGTCAAGCTCTGGGCTTACTCCCCCTGCGACTTTAGGTAAGATTTATTTTGAAGAGTTGGCTCATGCTGGGCAACTTCTACAGAGGGTGCTAAATCAAAAATAGCAGTGTATTTGAAACACAGGGTATTTTGCCGTTTTAGAGTTGCACTGGTAACGTTTTGCCGCCCTGTGGGTTTGGGTCTGAATCTCTTGCTTAGGCAACGCTGAGCGTAGAGATGTTTTCTTGCTTACCAGGTGCAGGTCAGATATGCAAAGGAGAGGTTTTGTTTTGTTTTTCTTTTCTGGAGCATGTAGATTATAGTCTGTCATTTCATCCAACCCTTGATAGCTGGTTCCACTGTTGTTGTGATGGTATTGAAAAGATGTCAAAACGCGAAGCATTGTTGCGTGGGTCACGTGCCTCATGCTCTGTGAAAGCTTTCTTCACTGTTCACTCAGTCAGCAAATTTGAGGGGCGCTGTGTACCTGTGACTGCCCTTGGCTTTCCTTCCCTGGGCGGTTGACTTCAGGCCCAGGACGACCCTTCTGTGGCTCTTGTGTTTTTAGGATTGGTCCTCTTTGCAGAATGGACGTTTGCTTGCTCCACAATCAAGACATCTGGCCGGGGAAATGAGTCTATGTGGCAGTATATCTTCTTAATGCACTCCATTTTCTCCCCGAAATTTGATCTTAGCTACAGTTGTAATTTGCTTATTTGAGCTGTTATTGCTCCTGGATTTCTTCTCCTGGGTAAGCGAGATAATGAGATTTGACATCATTTCTTTAATAAGAGGGAAAGTGAAAAATGTATAATTGAATGTTGGTTATTTATTCCAGTGATGTTAGTTTTGAATATCTTATCAAAAATACATTTTATTAATCTTTAAAGGTTCAGTCTCTGGTTTCAGTTCAGCTATTACTAATTTGAGATTTGATTTCAGTGGAAAGTTAACATAAAAATGATGTTCCTTGGAGAACGGAAGGGTGTGTGTGTGTGTGTGTGTGTGTGTGTGTGTGTTGTGGGAGAGGGCCACCAAAGCAGGCAGCAGGCAGTAACTTAAGCTTGCTCAGAGACCCTTCCAAACCATCAAGTGAGTCACTTCCTACCTCTGGCAAGGGGCAAGCTTCTTGTGATATCTGAGCATGGGAAAAATATGTACTTGAAATGCTAGCATGCTTTCTAGAGTCCCATCAAACACATATCCAGACATTTCCTGAACAAATAGATAACTGAGGGCTGGTGGGGTGGCTCAGAGGATAAAGGCGCTTGCTGCTGAGCCAAACAGCTTGAGTTTGGTCCTCAGCATCCATATGGCGGAAAGAGAAAATCAATGCCTGAAAGCTTTCCTCTGACCTCCACACCTGAGTCAAGGCATAGAAACACACATGAAACAAGCAAATAAACACACGTAATAGGAATTTAAAGTTCAAATGCATGACCAAGAGATTTTTTAAAAAATCACATGTATGTATGTATGTATGTATTATTGTGTGTGCACACATGTGGAGGCCAGTGGGCAGCTTTGCAGTTTTTAGTAATCAGTTCTTTCCCTCTGCTATGTGAGTTCTCAGGACTGAGTTTAGCTCTTCAGGTTTGGAAGCAAGCACCTTCATCCACTGAGCCATCTAGTCAGCCCGTGAGACAGACTGGACCCTTTAAAAGCAGAAAGATTTTAAGTTCTTTATATGGCATAGGTAATTGTGTCTGTGGTGTTTATGCCCACTTTCTTTTCCTCATTCTATAATTTAAAGAATTCATATGTCATAAACTCTAATGAGATGTTTTCTAGTGTAGACTTTGAAGCCACAATGCACTAGACCTGTCTTTGTCCTGGCTTAGTGGCCTCTCTCTCCCTCGGATTTTCTATTTTTTTGAAAAGGAAATAACAAGGGCAGGACGTAATCCACAGTGGTAGAATGCCTTGCCCAGCATGCGTAAGACCCCAGTACTGGGTTAAAAAAAAAAAAAAGTGAAGCCAGGTTAGCAGTAATGCGCCTCATTGGTTGATGAGATAAACTATGGAGTGTCACAAATTGGTGGACATTGTGTTGACAACAAATGGCAATGGAGCATTTATAAAGAGTGGCCCTGGTTAGAGGTGGCGCTTGTGGTAGATGGAACACAAGCCTAGCTTGTGAGGCCCTGGGTTTGGTCCCCAGCACCCGCCTGCTTTCCAGCTGGAAAGGCGGTAAGAGGTCAGTGTGATCCAGGGCAGTCTGCCCTTTGCTGAGAATCTAAAGCAGGCATAGACCTCTTCATAACCTCCTGTCTGTGTGACCTTGGGCAAATAGGAATCATTTCTGGTCTTTCTTCATCCAGAAAGGATGAGATCCATGGTTCTCTAAGTCCTTCTCAGTTCGAACATTCTGTGCCGTCTTGAAATTTACAAGTGACCGGAGTTTCAGTCCGGTCAGCTTTTCTGGCCGTAATCCACAAGGCTGGGCATGCACGGTCTCCAGGCCAGCACTGTGGCTGCAGCCGTGGTCATAAGCATGTACAATCAGCACACTGAAAGACTAAGGTTATCTTTCTGAACTTAGTCCCAAGAGGTTGCCGACAAGGAAGTCTGGATCCCACGTGCATGGGTCAGCGGGCTACCTGGTCCCCTTGTGGGATAGTGTAGCACTGGGAAGGAGTGATAAGCTGATTGTTTCTTTAATTTCATGGTGCAGATAAATTCTGGAGCAAAGGAAGTCAGTCTCATGAAGAACTTCTACGACATTTCTGCAGGGCTGCGTGGCTCAGGCAAATGATCCTTGGTTGCAGATGTCTGCCTTTCCCTGTAAGCACTCTGGCTGGTTGCCTGTGCATTGCCACCTGGTTCTTTCTCAACCGTTCCCCTTTTCCTTGCTCCACCGACCTCATGGTTAGATGCATACCCAAATGCTAGAGTTTTAGAATGTCCAGGGTTCCCTCTGACTGATGGGACTGTGGACAATCCTTTCTGAGCCCCTCCTGCAGGATTTAAAACCTGGGATATTTTATTCACCGGGATCGTTCCAGATGGACCTGGCATCATTTGAAAAAGAGGCCGTTCCAGCGTGAGCTGAATTTGCCACCTTCCTGGTTGTTTCTGGCATTCTTCATCCTACAGTGTCTCCAGAAGGGAGCAGTGCCTACCTCTTCCCATGGTTTTCCATCCATGCCGTTGGCATGCCA